GGGCGAGCTCTACCTCATATGAGCATATTTGATTCCAAAGAGCACCCTTATCTTTCCTGTGACTCCTCGCCTGAGCGAGTTCTATCTCACTTGAGCGAGTTGCTCCCAGCCGCGAGACCCATTTCTCGTCTAAACGAGAGGACAGTTGAGACAACGTTATCTCATTTCACTTGAGCGAGAGTGTTTCAGAACATTCTCCTTTAGAAAATCCTGTGTCGCTTGAGCAAGGTCTATCTCGTTTGAGCGAGATATCTTTTATCCAAATTCTTATTTTTCCTATCCAAGAGTAACAAAATTAAGGGTGCTACAATTAATATCTAATGGTCATACAATATTAATAGTTTTTCCCTAAGTTATTACCCCTAATGGTCATACAAGGTAATAAGAAGAGAAAGCATAAAAATCTATGAACTGTTCATTTAAAAACGATTGAAAGAGAAGAACTAGGTTTTGTCCACCTAATTCTTCGTCTCGTTTTATCCTATAGATCCATTAATTATATGTAAGGATATTAAAATTTTTCATTTAAATAAAACTCTTATCACATGGTCTCACAAATATTTCAAAATGAATAAAAGGGTTACAAGTTTATATCAATTAACAGCTACAGGACCATTTCAAATACAATATTTTCAAAATAATATCTAAAGCCCTATAGTAGTTCCATCCAACCCTTCATTGAGTCTGGTGCTGATCGTCTTGATTACCTGAAAATGAATGTAAGGGTGAGTACTGTACACTACCAAACACACAAATAAGCATAGAGTCTCACCTTGCACCTATTCTGCATCATTTCTATCACAATTCATAAAATATATTCACAAGCAACAATACTACTCCTATTCAATTTAATTCAAACACTGATGCACTCACGGCATCAAACAGTTTACACACACACAAAATTAACAAACAATAATCTTGTGCACTCATTGCACGCCAACCATGCTCACGGTGGCACTGTGATCACATATTTTCACCATGAATGGTCGCCAGTTACCTCCGCCTCACTGATACCACGTGGGCAGTCACGAGTCACTCAACAAAGGTAGTGGTTAGAGGTCTAGTCAGGAAGAGAGCGTGTGGCCCGTGGTGCACCCGCTCCCACAGTCAGTGTCACCACCACTCCCTTTTCCCCAAGATATTTCTACCGTCCTCATCTTCCACACCTTTAGTGTATTGCTGAACCATTCACACCACGTTACACTGACGTTAATCACACCCCATTCACACACATTGCAATATTCATTCTCAGTATGCGGCATAAAGCCCACAGTCATGCATAATACACGACACTAGGCCCTCATTTGTTTTACAATACACGGCACAAAGCCTATATTCATTCATATTACACAGTCCTTAGGCCCACACTTGTTCACAATTATTCATTCAATATATACGGCACAAGTGCCCATACCCATTCACAATACTTGGCATATATGCCCTCATTCTATTACATGACACTTAGTATATAATCCACATTTACTTACATTTATCATGCCATCCATACCCATTTTCAACTACTTACATTATTCAATCATCAATCTAGGGTATATTAACCCAGTCACGACCAACTCACATTACATTCAAACACACAATAATTTCCATCAACACACTCATTCTTACTCTCTATCTCAATCACATTACAAAAATATAGCAACTAAACAGAATTTCACACAAATGAGATAGGGTAGAGTCCCCCCTTACCTTGGATTGAAGACCCAAACTCGAATTCAACCACGGAAGTGCTCCCCACACGAATTTTGGCCTAAATACATGGAAGGACTCTATGAGAATCCAAGGTAATCATGAAAACAGAGAAAGGGGATGAAAAATGAAAACTCTAACCATTAAAACTCACCCCCAAGCGTTCTCACACGAATTCAACCTTCAATCTTGCTCCCGAACGGCTTTGGAGGAAATTTAATCGGTAGAATAGGATTTTGGGTCTAGAGAATCGAAGAGATTTGCAAGGGAAATAGGGAAATGAAATCCCAATCCATAAACCCCTTTTGGGTCGACACACTCTCGCTGCAACGATACACTCTCGCTGTAGCGATGTCTCTTATCGCTACAACAAAAGTTTCAGACAAAATTGTACCCTGATTTCTGTAAAATCTCACTACAGTGAGATCCTTTTGCTACAGCGAGACTACACGCAGAAATGCAGCTCAAACTGTGGCTTTGTCGCTACAGCGACAAGACGATAGATTCATCCTTCTCTCCCAGTGCCCTCTCGCTACTGCGAGAAAGGCACAGTTTCATGCCTCACGCCCAGGGGCCTCTCGCTACAACAAGAATGTCCTGCTGCAACATCCCTACTTAGCCTGTTTTCAGCCCAATCAATCCAATCCAATTATATATATATATATATATATATATATATATATATATATATATATATATATACACATCCATATACATTATACCCACAAACATCATCATTACACATTCAAATGCAATTTACATCTTTCACCTTTACACACACACACACACACACATATATATATATAAACACATATACATATATCAATAATAATATTACAAAATTCAGGGCGTTACAACAGTCGCCTATGATATAATTAATTGCGGTATGTTTAAGAGTTGTCAATTCTGAACATACGAATATAGTGCAATATGGTAAACACCAATCAAAAAAAGAAATATAAAATTATCATTAATCACAAAGATCTCATAAAGTCATGTAAAGAATTCACCACAGTCCTAACTATGGATTTAGCTAGACATAATATAAAAGAAAACAAAAAAAAGATATTAAAAAATTCATAGAACTCGAAAAGTAAATACAAACTAGAAATGTCTCAAATGAAGAAGAGAGAAAAGAGCTCTTAATCTTAAGACATGCTCCCGAAGCTCTAATAGTCGTTAGCAAGTGGTCACCACCAAGGTTGAGGATGTGAAAGAGATATATAAAAGTTGTGGAAAGGATGAGATGGAAAACAAGATAAAAAAACATGATAAACAGTCACCAACCCCAGGACTTTTAAAATTTGAAATTCCCAAAATTTCTTCAAGTTGGGGTTCTCATAAGTGAGCACAGTTGTGCATGTGGATCAAAGCACCCACGTGGTGGCTGCAATGGTATGGGCAAGCTAACTGCTGCGAAACTTAATTTTTCATCTAACTTAGGGCCAAAATGCACTCAAAATTCAATTGTAGCCTTTTAATGCTAAACTACTACATAATTAATATATAAGTTAGTGTAAAACTTAATTAAAATAATAGTCATATATAAATATATTGGCTATAAAAGCATGTCAAAATATAGACTTATCACTCTCTAAGAATAATTTTAGAGAGTAGTTAATACGTAACCGCTTTCTAAAGTGTGACTTTAGAGAATTGTTCTCTTTTAATTGCTCTCCTAGTCATTGAATTATAAAGTGAAATATAATGTAGTGAATCTTACGTATTAATTTTTAGTAAATCTTATAAGTTTACCACAATTACCATTTAAAATATGAGTTAAAATTAAAAATTAAGTTTAAAGATCTGTTTTTGGTCTTTAGTTTATATTTTAATGAATTTTTTAATTTTAGTCTTTTAAATTGTTTTTAAATATTTTTGTATTTACTTTTTAAAATTGTTTTTAAAACTTTTATTTCTTAGTAAAAGTATAACTAATTAGAAAGTTGTCTCATATTAATTTTTTTTATTATGAAATAATTTTTTGTTACATCTTATCATTTAGAGAGATTGAAAATGCTGAATTTTTTAAAAAACATAGGAAGTAAAACTCTTTTTTTAAAATTAAAATCAAAATCATAGACAAATATAAAAATTTGTAATATATTTGTCTTATTATCATTAAAGATCCACGTTAATATAGTACCATTATTTTTAAGTGTTATCTTTATCCTTACTATTTTTACCATTTTGATTTTCATTATTACTTTCATTTTTGTCCAAAATAAAATAAAAAATAAGAATATAAATTGTCTCTTATTAAATTGAATAATTACTTGTATTTATAAATTTAATGCATAATAAAATTCGTTAATAAGGCTAATATTTACTTAAAGTACAGTAAAGCTGGTATGTTTTAACACAATTCCCATTTAAATATGAATTAAAATTAAAAAAACGAGTTTAAAGATCTAGTTTTGTTCTTTAGTTTATATTTATAAGAGATTTGAGTTTTAATATTTTAAAATATATTTTTTTAAATTCAACAAATTTGCTTCTTATGATAATGTAATAAATTAAATTATCATATGTCAACTTTCATGTCTTTTTTTTTTTTGCGTTACATTAATAAAAGAGATTAAAAATGTTAAATTTAAAAAAAGTCAAAGTCAAATTTATATAAATATAGAAACTGAAAGCTATTTAAGTTTTGTTAATTCTGCGTAAAGATCTAGTCACGGTCACCACTATTTTTCAGCGCTATTATTATTATTATTATTATTATTATTATTAGTGTCACAACTAAAAATTTAAAAAAAGACTAAAACCAAAAAAAAATAAAAAATTTACAAATAAAAATTTACAACCGTACCTAATAACATTAGATAACGAATTGTGCTTCAAAAGTTTCGATACATATTTTAAAAATATTGTTAGGAGTAGACATCGCTTTTGTGCTTAATCATACGCCCAAGAAATTGGTGTTTTACATAATACTTATCAAAATGAGAAGATACTCAGTACAACCAAAATTATTAAGATCGTAGTAGAAATAAAAAGGAGTTTTCCAATGAGTGTCCTAAACACAAGGTCTACACAGATTAAGTAGCATTAATAAATTTTCTTCTCTTCCTAACTACTACTGATTTCACGTCTTGTATGGGGTAACGGAAAAAAGCATTATTCTTTAACAAATACTTCATTTCATAATGAAAAATCTTTAAGCCCACTTGTTATAAAAAATTATACATTATTTAAGCAAATTTTGATCACACGGATAATGATAGGACAATGATTACTCAATTTCAATTTTCGTTACCTAACATTAACAGCCATCTAGGGGCTTTGCTGAATATAAAGCATACATGTTCCGCGAATTCTATGTAGGCGTAATCGTGGAGATTCGAGATGCCTCAACAAACACAAGGCAACGCTAACAATGACACGAGTTGGATGGTTGCTATTGAAACGATGCTGGATGCTATAGGTCACCCAGAAGTTCAATCAAGTAGCATCTCCAAGGTCCCAGACAAAATTCGCAAGCCAAATGCGGATGCATACATGCCACGTGTTGTCTCCATCGGACCCTTACATAGAGGAACTAAAAATGATCTCTTAATGATGGAACCACATAAGTGGAGTTACACGGTGAATCTTCTTAATCAAACCCAAATACCAGAAAACACCGTGGTATCAGCTGGGCCTTCGACGCTGGAAAATTGTGGCACAGACCTCTTGCAGTTGGACAATATAGTTCGTGCAAGCTATGGGGGAAACATCCACTCTGAGCCCCACGAGCTAGCGAAAGTTATGCTAGATGGTTGTTTCTTGTTAGAATTTCTTCAGAGGCATGTGGAAACCTTGAGCAAGGGTAATAATCCTAATCATGGTGGTGACCCCGTTTTCCAAAGCCAAGACATGCTCCGGGATATTTTGGGTGATATGTTACTGCTTGAAAACCAGGTACCATATTAGTTAGAATCTTACAATTCAGAATTCATGATTCACTATTCAAAATTAGCTTGACATTCACGATATGAACTGTTATTTAATAACCTTGACAGGTACCCTTCATTATTCTGAAGAAGTTGCACAGGAGAATTTTCCCTTCTGTTGTACCCCGTGAACAAGACCACAGAGTTGCTAATCTTGCACTGGCTGCACTCAGCTGCCCTTTAGTTGTCTCTCCCTCTGGTGTAGCTCACCTCCTTGATCTGGTTCACTATTCAATCACGAACGAAAATGGTAGCCATAAGACGAAGCAAGCTGAACTAGAGCTAAATCGCAGTGCCATGAGGCTTCAAGCTGAGGGAATAACAATAAGACCCGCAAATAGTGGTAATAATAATAATGGAAATGCTCAAAAGGACAACAAGCTTGTTAATAGCTTTGACTTTGTCATAAATTTCGAGAATAGGGTGCTGGAAATCTCACCGCTGCATATTAATGAATTTAAAGAAGTCATATGGAGGAACTTGATTGCTTGGGAGCAGAGCAGAATTGAGATTAGATGCAAATTAACCTCGTATGCTTTGTTTTTCCAAGGTTTGATCTGCTGTGAACATGACATTGAACTGCTTGAGCATGTCGGAGTTATAGTGAACGACTCCAAGAAGAGCAAGAAGGATTTGGAGAAGCTATTTCGCACAATCGCTGAGGGAGTTATGTACATGGACTCATGTTATAGCAAGACTTGTGACAGATTGAACAATCATAAGGGAACCAAACCGTACAAAAAATGGACTATAATGGCTTGGCATCAGTGCATGGATATATTTGCCATTGTTGTTCATTATTTGATAACCTGGTTCAGTCTTTTGAAACTGATTCATGAAGTTTTCCCTACTGGCTGGAAACTCCTGGGAGTGTTGTCTGGTGCGGCGCTGCTAGGTCTCACTGCTACGCAGACATATTATATAGTCCCCGGCCACCATTAGTGAAATCACACTATGCATGCATACTTCAAATATGCATAATATCTGAATAATTACTTAAAACATATGATTATGATTTCAAATAAATAGAACTTATGTATCATATATATGTCCCACAGACATATATGATATTAAGAAAGCAGTTTGATTAAAGTTCTCAGGATGTAAAGAACAACTAAACCTGTTGGATACAATAATCCCATACTAAATATTGGAAAAATTAGTATTGTGTACTCCTAGAGCAGCAATTAAGGCATGCTCAAGGAAGGGTATCATCGTTTATTTTATGTACAAAATTTTAAGCTTGCCAACTTAAAATTATTGGAAGAAATATCCCTAAAATTTTGCTTTTAGGGGTCTCAATTATCCAATATTAGACGATGCCAAATTCAAGGACAAAGCAGTGCGCGTTAATAACATATTTACTGCAATAATAATATAGGTAGGCCACAAACAGGACATCGCAGCCAAAATTAAACTCTAAGGAGAACATACCAAAATACTAAGCAATCAAAACCATTACAGGTATTTTCTACATAAAATACTGCTAGACACAACTATACAAGATGCTCACAGACTTGGGTCATTACAAATTTGACAAACTAATTTTCACATTTGGATTCAGCAAATAGCATCAACCTCAAGCTGCAGCAACAGCCTCAGGAGTTGCCACATGCACAACCCTGGGAGGCGTAGTACTTGTACTAGCTCCATCAGGGGGTCCAGTTTTAGCGTCCTTTTTGGTTTCTGAAGATGGGGGAGGCTTGGGCTTCATATGTGGTGGGGGATTATGCTTGAGCTTCAGTAATATCTGGCGCATTCTTGAAAGCTCAGTTGGCTTCCCTGGCTTTGGCCCCTGAATTACAACAATAGATGGCTTTTTCTCTTTCTCCTTTTTCCCTCTTTTCTCTATTGCAGGCACTTCATGTGGTATAAGTTCACCAATTGCCTTCCAGTAGTTTTTGTCAGCTTCAGCATGGAACTTTTCCCGGCTTGCCAAAAATAGCTGTCTTACAGCGAGCAATATATTAATACAGAGCCTTAATAGTTCATACAATGAAATCCGGATAGAATTATAGTTACAATATAGCCTTGAATTAATTGGTCAAATCATCACCTAACCTACTTGAAAAAAAAAAAGGTGTGGAAGAGGAAAATCAAGGTTCCTAATATTAAAATAGAAGAGACCACACCAGCGGTAGACACAGAGCTACAATACAGTACAACTGAAAATCAAAGAATATGAACAAATAGCAACTAACTCTTTCATAAACTTGCAAATAAATTGAAGGGTGAAGTTACACGTGTGACTCTCAAATTCAATCTTGTTGGAGTTGGTAACACTCTAACTTTAACCAAATGACAGTCAAACAATGAGCTAAAACTGTCAAGGATTGAACAAAGAACAGGCTCTTGAATTCAACAAAAAAAAAAAAGCATGATAATTAGGTTGAGTCCAGGTTTAATAAATCACCACTCGATAAAATATAAAATACTTGTATTCATTCTACTTGCCTGATGCACAAAACAGAACAGGCATATATATACTTCTCACTCACAATACAGTTTAAATATATTTCTCACTATCAAACTTTAAGTTACTTGTACTATAATTTACTCAATAAATATATGTTTAGGACAAAAATCTATCCTCTATGACATCAAGGCGTTTACCATTGATCAAATTCACAGTAACCTAGCATTTATCACACAGATTGCCATTGAAATTCTGACCGAACTCAATTAAAGAAGTGAATTTCAATCTGATTTATATGAAGAATTAGAGAATAAAAAGAAACAAATATTAACTTCAAAATTAACCTTCTGTCTTTCCCTGTTAGAAGCCTTGTTGTTCTCAACATTAACCTCGCGCTTTTTGTAGAACTCAATTTTGTACTCTTTCGCTTCCTCTATGATCTGCATACGCATTTCTTTCTCCTTCTTCTCCTTTTCCTCCAATCGAATCGCGTTTTGCCTGCATCATCCTCATCTTCTTCGTCATTACCACCATCGTTATCATAATCACAAACACAAAAAACAAAAGAAGTGAACAGTGATCATCGCTCTTACCTTCGCCACTCTCTCAGTGCAAACCCCCCCTCCGCCGCCATATCCGTCGGAGGAGGCAAGATCGGGCCACCGGAGGCGCCGAGACTTCCGTCCACGCCCTCCCCATTCTGCTCCGGAGAGAACGCCTCGAATCCGCTGGGGGCGGAGTAGATCGACGGCGGGGAGGGAGTCTCCGGCACCGCCTGAGAAGAGAACACGTCGTCTCCGGCGCTGTACGAGCCACCGCCGAAAATCGGGGACGAGTCACCAGCCGAGTCCTTGACTGAGTCGGCGTCGAAGTTTGAGAACGAGTCGAAGCGCTGCGACTGGAGCCGGGGATCGTAGCCGACGAAGGCGCCGTCTTCGTCGAACGGCTGGGTGGAGCTGCCAAAGGATGATGACATGGCCAGTTTCCGGCGACTGCTCCAGTTTCGGCGAAGCCCTCCGGTGAGGTGAGGTGGCGTTTCCGAATTGAAATTGCGTGTTTTATGGGTCAAGGGGTTTTTGGGAGGTGCGGTCGAGTGTATTAAAATAATATTTTTTAAAACAATTTGTTTGTTTAAGACTTTTTTCAGTCAATTTCATCTGTGCAAAGGATGAATTTTTTTAATTAAATTTTATCAAAAAATAAATTTTAAAAATTAAAATGTGTCTAAATTTTATTAAATTTGGTCAGTATAAAAATGAAATAATATTTTATAAAAATAAATAAATTTAAATAATTAAAAATAAGTGTAACATACAATCTCAATTATTTTTTTTTAACATACAAAAAAACTTATAGCAATTAAGCTTGACTAACTCTAAGTTTGGACTCTCTCAGTTCTTCTTTCTTTTCTTTTTTTATTTGATAAATTTATTTAAATAATATTATTTTAAAAATAAATTTTTATAATAAGTATATTTTAAAATAAATTTTCTGTTTAGTGCGATTTTTGGCCTAGATCAGCAAGTATATCACATCTATATTAAGGTTTTAATATACTATCGTTCACCTCTAACCAATTTTCGTCTATAGCTTGACACATGATGGAGATAGAATAAGTATGGCCAAAGTAAGAGCGTTAACTGATGGACAGTGTTAATGGTAACACGTGTTGATTGCATAAGTGTATCCACCGATCTATAACGATAGACATATCCTTAGGATAGACATATCCTTGGTCAAATTACGACAAAGCTTTTGCTTGTCAGAGTAAGATACATGTGGCTGTCTGGCACGTATTATTAGCTACTGCTTTAATATTAAGATCCAGGCTTTTATCCAATTTTGTAACACTGTATATAAAGCATTCCGCAAACGTATCTTTAAGCTGAAGAAAGAAAAAATCTACGGAGAGAAAAATCTGGGAGAGTGATTAAGGTTAGTTAAATTTCAAGTTTTATGTTATTTATTTTTTTATTATGAGTTTTAATTATTTTTAGTTTAAAAAATTTTATATTATTTATTTATATGAAATTAAATTTTTTAATTAATAATTAAAATAAAATCATATTAGTGTGATAAAATTTTTATTAAAAAATAAAATAATATATAAATAATGTCAAGATTTTATTTACATATTATTGTTGTATCTTATTATGTATAAATCATTAAAAATTTGTAGATGTTATTTAAAATTACAAAATAGTGAGAGCAAACGTAAAAATGATGTAAAATAATTTAATAAAGATAATAAATTAATTTATAATTTAAAATGTTATAAAAAAAATATGATTTGAGTAAAAATTTATAAACTATATAAATACGATTTGGCATATAAAGTTATTAATGTCTAATAAAATTTTATGGACATGTGTATTTGTGTTTTAAATAAAATAATATAATGTTAAAAAACACTGTTGGATCGGTTACGTTAGTTTTAATGCATAAATGATTTTAACAATTTTATAATGCATATAAAGTTGTTGTGTAATTTTGTTAATATTTAAATATAATTATACTAATTTTGTTGTTTTAAAATTGACGAAAAAAATTTAAAATATAGATTAATGCAGTATTATTTAATCTTGCATGGATTTTAAAATTAATTATAAACTAAGAATTATGTTAATTTGTCCTTTAAAAAATAAAATAGATATTATAAATAGAAATAAATTACTGCTGTTAAAAAATTGTACTTATTTAAAAAACTGTTAATTATGTAAAAATAGGAAATAAATATAGTTAAAAAATAATTTAATTCTATATTAAATAGAAAACATAAATTATTATTTACATAGTATAATTTAAAATAGGAAAATATAAAAGAATTTAAGAAATCATACTGGGAATTAAATTTTTAATGTTGTGATATGTTTCTAATTTGATGTTGTATATGTGAATAATTAATAAATAAGGTATGATTACATAAATAATGTATTTTTGTCATTATATGTTTGATGTAAAATTTATATGATTTAGAATAAAATTGTTAATTTTGACTAATTAATTTGTGGTATGTGTATTTAATTTGTTGTTGTAGTATGACTGATTTTGTGATAATAGTGTATTCAAATGATTGAATATTCTCAAGTAACGAGGATATTATCTTTGAAGGAAATAATAAAATGATTAAAATTGAATGTGAAATAAGTTTTGAGACATTGAAAGGAAAGATTTTAAAAAAAAATTGAAATTGTCTACTAGTTAGGTTATATGCAGATTAATTTTATGAGTTTTAGTAGACCCAATCGATAGACAATACACAGTGATGGATATATGTGATGATGAAGATATTGATTGTATGTTAAGTGCTTTTTTACAACAAAATTAGAGAAGTGCAATTGAAGTATATGCAAATATTGTGTCTAGTGAAAGTTCTTGTATTCGGTAAGAAGGTGTGGACTTAAATGTTTCACTTTTACGTGACAATAATAGTGATGATGATGAGCCTCGATTTGGATCAGGTATAGTAATGTTTTTGGTCCTATGAAAATAATATTTAATTTGTTATAACTATCTTTGTACTAACAAATTTTATGGTTATGTAGAAAGTGAATACGAGAATGAGGAAGTTGATGATAATGAAAATAAATGGGAATTTTCAACAGATAATTCATCTAATCATGCCATGAAGGGTGAATTTAACTTGATATTGAATAGTCATGAAAATGCACAACATGGAGGTATTATATATTTTATAATTTAATTTATATATTTCATGAATAAAGTATATTAAGTTGAGGATTTGCTTTTAATGCAGGCGTGATTGAAACTCCTTTTTAGAATTCAAGTCCGCATTATACTTATATTAATTAGGAACATGTTGATCAAGAAATGGATAATTTAGATGTTCATGTAGATGAAGCATGGAGGGAGGGTGATGCATTATATATTAGGCAAGTGTTTGAGTCTAAAGATGATGTAAAAATGGCTATTAAATATTTTGCAATGAAAATACATCAAAGTTATTTAGTGGTGGAATCAAAACCAACAAATCATACAAGTGGATGCTCCTAGAGAGTTAGAGCAACATTGGAAAATAATTATAACAAGTGAAAAATCATAAGATGTGGTGGAACACATACATGTGTTAATCCAATGATGTCTCTATACCATAAAAAATTAGATTCAAACTTCATTTGCTCTTGTATTCTTGGTAAGTTTTACTAAACTAATTGTCATATTTTATATCAAGATTGTAAAATTTATTAAAAGATGTTACTGAAATTGATATTCTTAATTGTAGGTATGGTAAAAGAACAACCGTCAGTGTCAATCATATTAATTAAAAAAAGAATTAATGGTCAATTTGGTTATCAAGTTTCTTACAAGAAAACATGGAAGACAAAACAAAAAGCTATTATAAAGGCTTTTGGTGATTAAGATGAATTGTATGCGAGCTTGCCCAGATAGTTAGAGCACATGCAATTACATGCTCCTGGTTCTGTTTATAAGATTGAAATCAATGACTATGTGAGAAATCACCAAGATGATGACAAATATAAAGTATTTCATCACTTATTTTGGTCATTCAAACAATGCATAAGTGCTTTTAATTTTTGCAAACCTCTAATACAAGTTAATGGTACGTTCTTGTATGGTAAGTACCGACAAAATTTATTGATTGCTACTAGTCAAAATGGAAATAACTGTGTGCTTCCAATTACATTTGCAATTGAGGAAGGGGAAACTTTGTCAGCATGGGAATGGTTTTTGGCTCTCATCCGTCTTCATATCATAGAAAAGACATGTATCTCTTTAATATCTAATAAACATCAAAGTATCAAAGGTGCAGTTTCTAATCCACATATTGGATGACAACCTCCCAATGCATATCATGTGTATTGCATTCGTCATATAGCAAGCAATTTTAATCAACGATTCAAGAATCCTAATTTTAAAAAAAGCTGATAAAACTAGGTACGTACTGGGTTATTTTTATTTACGTGGAGTTTGTAGTTCTTGTTTACATAAACAATAATACTTTGACTAATACATAAATGTCATTAGTTTTAATAGGATACACAACATGCAAACAAAGATTTGAAGAAAAACTATAGAGATTTCGTAATCAGTCAGAGGACATAAAAGTTAGATTGACTATATCTCCAAAGAAAAGTAGAGTTTGACCTATGACGATCAAGGATGATGTTATGGACATATGACAACCAATTTATCAAAGACAGTTAACAAAATTTTTAAAGGAGCGAGAAATTTGCCCATAACTGCATTGGTAAAATGTATGTATTCATACTCAGTTAAGTATTTTGTTAAGCATGGTGAAGAAGCAACGACATAACTCAATAATGATAAGAGATTTTGTCGTAAATTAATGCAAAAAATAAATAAATAAAAATCAAGAGGAAGTGTCTTCACATCAAGTTTGATGATATGACATTCAGAGAACAAGGTTTGAAGTAGAAAAGACATTTAACCCGTCATGTAACGAGGTGGTAATTAGTGGACTGTCATATTCTCCAACCGATATTGCCAATGTGAAAAGTTTCAAGCATATCGGTTTCCATACTCACATGTCATAGCTACTTGTCCATCAGTGAGTATAGATTTTTGGCAATGTGTTGATCCTGTTTATTTAATGCAATATATTGTTAATGCATACTCATTGTAGTGGTGACTTCTGGAAAATGAAAACAATATTTTAACATTCAACGAATGAAAGTTAGTACCTGACATGCAAAGAATAAGGGGGGAAAAGTTGATCAAAGTCTTCACATATTAGGAATGAAACGAATTGGGTGGACTCTTAATCATGCTAACGATGTTCCTTGTGTAGAGAAATTGGTTACAACCAATGTCATTGTTCAAGACAAAGTCAGAGCAACTAAGAATAAAGCGTAAAAGATTGTTTCCTATTTATAAGTGTGGTGATGTATGACTATTTCATTGTGTTTAGAATTAAGTTGTTGGAAATGTCACTATGTTGTGTTGTTTTGGATTCGAACCGTTTGATCAATTGTAATGATTATCTTACAAAACAATTTTTAATTTTTATGGCATATTTATTGAATTTTCCATTTTTCTTCATTTACTCATAACAAATAAAGTTGTAAGAATTTACATTAAATAAATACAAAACTATTTTAACAATGAAAGTAGGTTTA